CAGCATCATCATTAGCACCATCATCATCAGCATCATCATCAGCAGCATCATCATCGCCACCATCAGTATAACCATCATCATCAACAGCATCATCAGCATCATCGACATCGACATCGACACCATCATCAACATCATCATCATCATCATCATCATGATCAGCATCAGCATCATCATCCGCATCATCACCATCATCAGCAGCATCAACATCAGCATCATGATCAGCATCATGATCAGCATCATCCTCATCGTGAACATCAGCATCCTCATCCGCAGCATCATCAGCATCCAAATCGTTATCAGTATGATCATGATGATCATCATCGTAATCATCAACATCATCATCATGATGATCCGCCGGCCCCCTTGTGGGGCCACCAGGCTGCGAGGCGCGTGATTCGCAGTTTCCTGTACCAGTTGTAGTTTGTAGTTTCCAGTGTTACAGTTCTGCTTCTTGCTGGTTACTGTAACTAGTTGACTTCTTGCTGGTTACTGTAACTAGTTGATTGACCGCGCGAGGGGGGGGAGGCCCAAACGGGATTTTTAGCGTCCCCTGGGCGCGTTGTCTGAATTGCTGGGGGGGCTCGAAATCGACACCCCTCACGCAGATCCGCGGGGTCAGGGTCCAAAAACACATGGGATTTGCCACATTTCTGAAATTCGGTGCCACCCCTCACGCAGATCCGCGGGGTCAGGGTCCAAAAACACATGGGATTTGCCACATTTCTGAAATTCGGTGCCACCCCTCACGCAGATCCGCGGGGTCAGGGTCCAAAAACACAGGGGATTTGCCACATTTCTGAAATTCGGTGCCACCCCTCACGCAGATCCGCGGGGTCAGGGTCCAAAAACACAGGGATTTGGCACATTTCTGAAATTCGGTGCCACCCTTCACGCACATCCATCGCAAGGCGTGGTAACCCAAACTGCGAGAACTCCCTCGGCCCATTAATCGCAAGGTGTGGTAACCAAGCCCGTACACCATACACGTCTTACCAATCGCCAGGTGTGGTAACCCCTCTTGTGATCAGTTGGTTTTGCTGATTGCGAATCGGCTTCGCATGAAGTTTCGATACTGCTTCACAACAGCGCCAAGGCCTCATGATTTAGCTCTTTCATGGCCCATTCTCCGAGAGAGGGGGCCGGCGGCAGGGGGCGAAGCCCTTACGGATAATCACCACTAACCTCATCGTCAGAATCCCCATCACCATCCTCATCAGCGCCCTCATAATCAGCATCATCGTCAGCGTCATCGTCACCATCATCCTCGACAACATCAGCATCAACAACAACAACGCCATCATCATCAGTATAATTAGCATCAGCATAACCATCAGCACCAACATCATCACAATCATCATCCACATCATCATCCTCATCCGTATCCCCATCAGCAGTAGCAGCAGCAGCCGCATCATCAACAACATTATCACGATGACGACCAGCATCCTCATCATCCTCAGCATTATCATCCTCATCACCATAATCAGCATCATCATTGTCAACCACACCATCCATCCTTCCATCTATCCGCAAAGCAATCGGCGATATTCTCCTCCTCCTCCTCCTCATCATCCTGATCTATCCTCCTCCTCCTCCTCTTCCTCCTCCTCGTCCTCGTGCTCCTCCTCCACATCCACGTCCACTTCCATCATCTTATTCCCACCCCTCCCTCCGTTCTTCCAGCCGTCCCGCACTGTTTACCTACCTCACTCCCCCTCCGCCTCATCCCCGTGCCAAAAATTCGCACGGCCCCAGGTTGGGTATTCGGGGAGGACGCACGGGGCGGCTTGTAAGGGGACAAAGAGTCTCCGACGAGCACCTCCCTTGAGCTCACTGGGGTTTTGCCACCGGGGCGACACAGGCCAATAGGTGGCTGGGTTTCCACAGGCCCGTAGCAAGTGCTCTCGCCATGCACGGACCGTGTGGCATGTTCCACCCTTCGTTCCTTCCACGTGCTGTTCCCAACACGGGCAAGACCCGTATCCCCCTTTCCCTCCCACTCCTCTCGCCCGCCTTTGTCACGCCCGCTCCAACCTCCTCTCCGTCCCATCATATATGGTAAGCATTGCTTCCACCGCGGTCCCCGAATGGAAGGGCAAGCCGCTGGAAGTAGGTAGCCAGCAGGCCAGTCAGTTTCTGGCCGTACCATTTGTTCATCATATTATCCATCCTCGCTGGGCCGCGGGTTATAGGCATGTTGTGGGGTCGTACTTTGTTTTCCAATAACTCGGGGTCCCTGCTGGGTTGCGGGCTCAGGCTTTGTCTGGCAACCCCTCTTGCAGCGTCTGTATGGGCTAGCGCCGTCTGCACTGAAACTCTCCCAAGACTGCGGGCTACGGCTATGCTTCGCGTACCCATCTAGCATGCGGTCCCTTGTTTCGGCTGGCCCGACTCAACAAACACGGCTGGAGTTCTGGTAGCAACCCGCATGTAGGCAGGCAAGATCTCTGGTATTCTGCAAGGGCTTCGGGCGCTGAGTCTGTATGGGCTAGCGCCATCCGCGCTGGAACTCTGCCAGGACTGCG